TTGTTCGAATGTCTTGCGTGCTCAGGCTCAGCTAAAATCACTATGTGCCTCTCCAGGTCCAAGACGTTGGCGCTGAGAAGGACGCTATTACCTCGCTTCGCGCACCGACGCACTACGGGCGACCGAACTGGGATCGGATCTTCGATTCACTGGGGCAGAAGCACCCTGAGTCGGACATTGGCGTGGTTCGTGCTTTCTCTTCCACTTTACTCGCGCCTTTGTTTGTTTGTCTCATCAGCATGTGCAGTTCTACTGCGGCCCTCCCCAGCTCGCATCGTCCCTTCGCTACATGTCGAACAAGCATTCCGACCCTCGGGGAGCACGATTCTTCTTCGGGAAAGGTATGTCTGCCCTCGAATAGTGCGGGCGGTGACTGATGTTGTTGTTTCAAGAAAACTTCTAGACGAGTGTCTTCGGGAAAGGTATGTTTGCCTCTGAGTCTGAATACTTTGAGCAGTGGCTAATCCTGTTGCAGACAATCTTTAGCTATCTATTTAACGGCACGGACAGATAATTTTACGATTAACTTATTTGGATGCTAGCCTATCGTGTACGTGAAATTTAGTCACAAGTTTAGGATCGGCACGCTCGGTCGCGAACATCTTCAAGCATGAGCATTCTGAGGTACAAAACGTGTGCGCTTCATATAGTTCCAACCTAAATTCGCCTCGACAAGGGTGGGAGAACGGTGTCATAGGCGCTGACTTTGGATTGGCTCCCAGATGTTTTATTTGAACACAGGATTTCCGTGATCGTCGGTGTGCGGTAAACAATGACCGACGAAATGCAAGTGCAAGTGCCTCGAATGTCAGCAAGAATGGGCTGCAACGAGGCTGTTCCAGCATGGTGGAGTCGTGCTTGCGCGTTGCCGTCGGCTTCTCAGGGTCATAGGACAGGGCCCCACAAATCCTGGCCAACCACGCCTTTCCTTCTAGGCTAGACTTCGAACCCGAGCTCCGGCTCGCCGAGCGCGCTGGCCACCGCTGGACACCGTTCGTCAATCGTGCGCCATGCCTAGTAGGCGAAAGACTCTGTGACTTCGGACCTACTGCGGCGGCATGGAACGGTCTGGGTTGACCGCCGGTACCGTCCCAGGCGCTCGCCGTGCTTTTCCGCTCACGTTTCAGCTCTATTTTGGGGCTGTGAATGATGTAATGTGCAGGGCAGAGAGTATAAGAACGAGGGAAGAGTAAGTACCAAGCCAATTCCACACTCTATTACGCCCCTCAAAATGAAGTTCTTCTCCGTCGCTCTCAGCGCCATCCTCGCGACAACTGCGTACGCGCAGAGCGTCGCAATTGGTGCCCCCGCGGATGGTACCACCGTCCAACCTGGATCCAACATCACCGTCGAAATAGACCGACCGGTACGTGCCCCACATATACCTGTTGACCATCCACATTGACCTCCCAAAACAGGATACGCTTTCCGGTTCCACCGAGGTCGCGGTGGTCATCGGATTTTGGGTCTGCGGCGAGTCACCAGCGTCGGTGTGCCCGCCGCCTTCCGATGTTTTGGGTTCCATCCTCTATAACGGCCCGTACGACCCACAATTTCGCAACAACGGTACCCCGCCCAACAAGCCTCCGTATCAAAACTTCACCGTCACAATTCCGTCCACTGCCCAAAGTGGGAAGGCGCAACTCGGTGTCGCGCACTTGTCCTTGATCGGGGTGCGTTGCTTATTTCAGCTTTACAACGATTTGTGGACTGAAAGTTTCGACATAGGCGGGTCAATTCCCGTTCTTAGAAACTCGAAACATCACTCTGAATGTGGTTAAACCATGATTTTGAAAGGGGAGGACATCAGTATTGGCATGGACATGATATACAGTATGAACCTTGGGTTGAATAATACACTTTGTAGCTTGGTTGAAAAACACGACGACAGAGTTCCTGTCAAGAATCCGAGGGAGGGGGGGAAGATACTCTTGTCTCGGACATATTATTGGGGCGAAACCACGGAAAAACTTTCCTAAGTCTTTTCGTTCGGGATCGGTAATTGAAACGGAAGTTAATCTTTAAACTCAAGCGGATATTGAGTCACGAAACGTAGATGATTATACGGCCTGCACCGCATTCGGCGGCTTTGGAGGCAGAGACTGAGCATTATGCACGGCGACCGACCTGGTCCCGGCGTTGAGGCACAGAACGGACACCGGAATGCGGTGTTGTCCGGATTCCAAAGGCCTCGCTGAACGTGCGCCGTTCATACTAGTGGTCACCAATTCAATTTTGAAACTGCTATTCCGCGACGGTCTTGGTTGGCCGTTTGGTTCCCGAACGCTCTCGCAGCCTCTTAGACTCCGTTCATCCCCGTTTCCCTTGTCGTTTCAGGTCTTATTTGGGCGTCTGCTTTCGATTAGTAACATGGGAGGGAAGGGGTATAAAAGAGTTCCGAAGGGTGTCAGCCCAATACCTCGTTCTCTTCTTGTACACTTGCATTGGAATGAAGTTCTTCAGCTCCCTCGCTCTCAGCGCTCTGCTCGCAGCGTCTGCGTACGGACAGCGCGCCTTCATTGGTGCTCCCGCGGATGGCACCAGTGTAACCGCTGGATCCAACATCACTGTGGAGTTAGACCGACCCGTATGTGCCCACGCATACAACTCGACCATCTTATTGACTGAAGATTATATAGGATACGCTCACCGGATCTACCGAGGTCGCAGTGATCATCGGATTTTTCTCCTGTACCTCAACAGGATCGGTATGTCCAGGCCCATCCGAAGCTTTGGGAACCATCCTCTATAACGGACCATACGACCCGGAGTTCCAACCCGGTCCAAAACCGCCGTATCAAAACTTTACCGTCACGATTCCACCCAGTGCTCCCAAAGGGAAAGCGCAACTCGGTGTCGCACACTTTAGCTTGGTCGGGGTGCGTTGACTGTTGCATACTTATATTCTTCGGTGGACTCAAAATTCCTTGTCTCCAGGCCAGTGAAGTCCCGATCTTGGAAACCCTCAACGTCACTCTGAACGTGGTTTAATTGGAAGGACATCGATGTGGACATGACCTGACTACATACACGGACCTTACATGGAATGACTTCATAATTTTGGTGCTCATCTGAACACAGAGCTTTGAGTATTGTCTTTGAGTTGGTAGGAGCTGCGTGCGCATATTGTAAGCTTGGGCCTTTTCCAACCAGTGCTCGGCCCATGTCGCAAGAAAAATGGGAATGCTTTAAATACGTTCAAGTTTGGCAGGAGTTGACCGTCTTTCACAGACCAGTCACTTCCCTTCACTGCTTTCCCCCCAGGTCGTCTTTCCGAGGGGGGCGCCAGAAGAAAACCCGTTCCGCATTTCAGTATTAGTCCCAAGTAAATCCCGTTTATATCCCTCAAGTATCTTCGCTGCCGGTCAATGTTCGGTTTCCAAATCGAACCAACGACCAACTCAAGTCTGCCGAATGAAGCCGGGTGATACCATCACGATATACAAGTGCTGGCATCACTCTGGCAACTCGCTCCCGACTCCCACTGCGATGAAAAGCCCAGGGGTTTCCGCCCTCCCGAACGAGCTGTTACACAGCATCTCTGGGAACTTAGACCTGGAGAATCTATTTGCCCTATGTCGGACTAGTCGTCAGATGCACGCCATCTGTCTTGGATTGATCTATCGCGTCCTCTCGCTGAAAAGCGAAGTCCAGGTCCTCAAGTGTCTCAAAAGCATTGTATTGCGACCAGCAGTAGCTGAATTTGTCAGGGAACTCAAAATGTACGTCGAATTTTCTGTCAATCTGCCCAGTGATAATCGACCATTCGACCTGGCAGTGTTTGCTACCCGAAATGCGCTCTGAAGAGCTTTCACCGCACGCTTGAATGCGCAATTCAGCTTATGACAGGCCTGCGGGTTATTCAGGTTACCCCTCGGAGCCTCTTCTCGCCATTTTCCCGCGTATATTTCCCGCGACTCCTCAGCTGCATCGTTCCCCTCACTGTGGATATCTTCCCGTTCCTGCTCAAGAACCCCACAATCAATTCCTTGTCCGTCCGAGCCGGAGCGGACTTGGCGAACTCCGATTTCTGCTCCTGGCCCATCCGGCCGATGCAGATGTCCAACCTAACCTTGTTCGATGGGCCGGACATCATTGCGTGCAGCGTCATTCCTGGCTCGCGCGTTTCCCGAGCCGCTATATTCTGGCCTCAAGAGACAGTGGTGGGATTTCCGAAGGTGTTTGCGGCACTTGCAGCTTCGACGGCGGACATGGATAATCTCAGCTGTGTTATTTGTACATGGGATCCCTCACTTCTACAAACTATCGCGGAACATACGCCACGACTTGAATGTCTTCATATACAGCACTTGAACCTCGATCAATTGTCAACCGGCCCGAGAGAGGTGAGCTCCAGATTGCATGTAATAGCCTACGCTCATAGTATGACCAGAACTTCCATGCCGCCATCGAAAATGCCCTTCGTTCCTTACCCTGTCTCACAAGCCTGAAGATATTAGAAGGAGTTGACTCGCTGCGTCGGGAGATTGAACGGACGGACGAAGAACGGGAATTCGAATTCGAACTGGTGCAGAAATGGGGAGAAATATCTTCCACAGTCCTCCAAATGGCTATTGGATGCTTCACACCGTGGATCCGCTTCCGGAGACTCTGGTTTCCCGACAATATCGCTGGGAATACCTGGTTGCTCACAAAAATTCTCTCCTCACCACGATCAGTTTGGCCCGAGTATCGTCTTTTTTTGGCAAGTCGTATGCCGGAAGTGGAAGGAATCGATACTGTGGTATATTCTTTCCCGTCCACGTCCACTGTTTAGAAACATCTATAGTTTTCCGTTTCTTTGACGTAGTCCAGAGCAAACCTGCAAGCCTGTCTGCCCTCGACCGGTGTGATTCGGCGATTGGATGGCATCACTATTCATCTTCGCAATGGTTGAGCTTGGTTTGCAATTGGCGGACATGAAAGGAAAGGGAGGGAGGTATGTAGGTAGGTATCATTACACGGCCGGTCCGGATAACGAACGCCGGTTACAGGGATTTTGGCTCGGGCCTGATTCGAACAGGCAACTTCTGCGTGAAATCGGACGTCTTCTCTCATCAACGAAGAGCAGACGTGATGCATTCACCGCCGAGCCTTTCATGGCTTTCTTTTATCCTACAGCAAGTTCGACGAGGGTGTGCTTTCCTTTCGTCCTTATCCTGCAATTTTGCTGGTGGTCTCGTATACCGGAGCTCGACACCGAGCCCAAGGACAGTGGAAATGGATCGAGTTTCGGCCATCTCGGGCTTGTTCAACCCACCCACTTAAAAAATTTACCCAGCTACTCAACAGCTACCCTCCCTTCTTCTTTCTCATCCTCGCGCTACGGCACTAGCCCGCCGACATCGAATTAGCTTTTCGGGTTCCTTCAATTATTGAACTGGGTGATCATCCAACTGGCTTGCACCGGCGGTTCCAACGCATATCAGTACGAGGTTGAGGAATTTTATCCGCTTGGCAATGAGTCGGAGAAGTTCGCCTGATGAGAACGCCAACAATCTTGTCGAAGGACAATTTAGTGCAAGAAAGGCTTGGTAGTGGGTGCCCCACGGGCCCTTAAATTCCGGCGCTTACACCCCGGCGGCTCTTTCCGCTAAAATTACGCAAGAGTAGCCCGCCTGTTCGACTCGTGCCTGAGCCATAGCCATAGCCAGATGTCGTAGGCATTTTTTCTGATGTCCTGCGCTTTAAGGAGATCTGACGGGAGAAGGTTGTTCAACTCACCTGCATATTCTTCGAAGTTCGAGGCGATTAGAATTACAGCAACACATATGCGTCTCCTTATTCGAATCTACAACATATTGCGGATCTTACCTCCCATAATTCCGGATCTGCTATTTCTAAACCCACAACATTACGCGCTAAACAGTGATTCGGCTTAGTGGTGGGTGCCCCACGGCGCTTACATTCTGGCGGTTCTTGTTGCGCTAAAATTGCGTGGAGTAGCCTGTTCGACTCAGGCCTGAGCCGTAAATGAATATGTCGTGTGCGTTTTTTTTCCTGGTGTTCTGAGCTAAGACGGTTGCGCTTCTTCGAGGCGATTACGCTTACGATGCATATGCGTACAAGTTGGAATCCTTGTTAGACTACACCGCATCACGGATTCTAATTCCCATAACTCCGGATCTGGTATTTCTAAACCGACAACATTTCGTGTTCAACAAATCTATCACAACTTTCAGTGACTCGCGCTCATGTCCTTGGCATCCGCAGGCTTCGACTCTAGTGATCGTCGACTCTCCGAACTCCAATACATTTTCATGTTCCCTATCGAGGTCTATCTGCTGTAAACACTGACTCGTTGTAGCGACATAACGTCAACTGAGGTAAAGTTGCAGTTGACCATAGCTTTGATTTATTTATACGCGCAGTTCAACCGGATAATTCTATTTGTGAGCCCGGCTGCCGGTAGGGCTTAAATGTGAGCCCCCCTATTTTGAGGGGGGTTGCCAAATAGAATCTGGCAGCCCCCAAACCTCGATAAGATTGCCGGGCCTCCGGGCGGCCCGTTGGATAATATACATTGAAGTCTTGTTGAAGTCCAATACAAAATGGCGTATTCACTGAATACGGCGCCTCGTCCTGTCCCTCCACAAAGCTATAGTAATCCCAATTGGCCCAATTTGGGCCTAATTGATGCTGTGTTTTTCTTGGTCCTCGCCGTTCCACTGTCTCGATTCTACAAATTGTAATTTCTCCTTGGCCGCCGCCTGACCACATTTGTGGCAATAGTGCTTGCACTCCTTCTTTTCTCCTGACCGTTCAATTTTGGAATTACCTCGAGTCCAAGTCAGCGAGAGCGCATCGACGCTGATAACAATCCAGAAGGAAATTTAAAGACCCAAACCTCAACGCGTAATAGGCAGCATCAGGTTGAACCCTATTCAAGTATTCAAGCATGAGATTGAGAACATTCAGACAAGAGGGCAGGGCTTAGATTAGATGGAACGCGGCCCGGCGGAAAGATAAGCGTTTATCTTTCGCTTAGGCGGGCTTCCAAATAGAACTATGTTATTTGGCAACCCCCTAAGCGTTGAAAGCCGGGCTCACAAATAGAATTATCCAGTTCAACCACCCAAGTTAAACTTGCAAAGTTCAACCAGTGATAGCCATGGTTGGTTTTTGACAAGTTGCGCATCTCTGATTGTGTTCACCAATTGAAAGATGCTCTTCACCGCCGACTTCTCCGCCTACGGTAATTACCTGGGTCCGACTTTGAATGCTGTTGAATTTTGCTGATGTCCGCGGGCCGAGCGGCAAGAGCTGGCAGGCAACAAGAGCAGCGACGTCGAGAATCAACACGCCCAAACACGTTATGGACTCTGCGGCAACACTCATGGCGACGTCGACGCGGGATCGCCCAATCAAGTCGGTACGATGGTTCTGTGGGTAGGTGGACATGCGCTGACCCCCGCAGCCAGGTTCCCCAGCCCGCGACAAGTCGCCTCACCGACGCCGAGTTCTTTGCCGCCGATGAATTTGGCGCGCCAAAACCCAATGTCCGCAGTCTGCGCGACCACTTCTTCCGCGAGGGACGCCTGACCGAGGACCATGCCATGTATATTCTCGAGCACGCGACGAAACTGCTCAGCTCGGAGCCAAACATGGTCGAGGTCCAGGGCCCGGTAACCATTTGTGGGGACATCCACGGCCAATATGTGCGTCTGTGACCTTCTTGGGCGTATAAGATACTTAGGCAGGCTGCAGTACGACCTCATGAAGCTGTTTGATGTCGGCGGACCGCTCACAGACAACGCATATCTTTTTCTGGGCGACTACGTCGACCGGGGCTGCTTTGGGATCGAGTGCCTGCTGTATCTGTACACCCTCAAGCTGTGGTTCCCACACAAGTTCACCCTGCTGCGCGGAAACCACGAGTGCCAGCACCTGACCGAGTACTTCACCTTCAAGCGCGAGTGCCTGCACAAGTACTCCCAGCGCGTGTACGACGCGTGCATCGCGTCCTTCCGCGCCCTCCCCGTCGCCGCCCTCGTCGACGGCCGCTTCTTCTGCGTCCACGGCGGCCTCTCGCCCGAGCTCGTCCAGCTCTCCGACATCATGGCGCTGAACCGCTTCGCGGAGCCCGGCTCCCGGGGCCTGCTGTGCGATCTGCTGTGGAGCGACCCGATATCGGGGTTTGGGCACGAGGAGGAGCGCGCTCCTGCTGTACCGCCTGGGGCGACGTTCCTGCACAACTCGACCCGCGGGTGCTCGTACTACTTCACGTACGCTGCGGCGTGCGGGTTCCTCGAGCGCAACGGGCTGCTGGGGATCATCCGCGGGCACGAGGCACAGGATGCGGGGTGCGTTATCTCTTCTCTCTCTCGGGTCCGCCCCCTCCCTCTTATCCACACTCTAACCCCGCCCACTCCGCAGATACACAATGCACCGCAAAACACCGACCAAGAAATTCCCGTCCGTGATCACCATCTTCTCCGCGCCAAACTACCTCGACGTGTACCACAACCGCGGCGCCATCCTCAAGTACGCGAACAAGAACATCACGATACGGCAGTACAACGCGAGCCCGCATCCGTACTGGCTGCCGAACTTCCAGAACGCGTTCACGTGGAGCTTGCCGTTTGTTGGTGCGAAGAGTGCGTTTCTCATTCCTTCCTTCCCTCTCCTTGCGCTTCCCCTTATCGTTATGTTATCATCATCCCCACTACCACGCTAACACACCCGCAGTAACCGAAATGCTCCTCGCAGTCCTCTCCGTCTGCTCTGAAGAGGAGCTCGGCGACGCCTCCGACTCAGATTCAGAGGGCGCGGCGCCCACCGCGACGGACGCGGACGGCGACGCGCAGATGCGCGATCGCACGGCGCGGACGCTGGGGCTGAGCACGCCTGCGGAGGTTGCGAGACGGAGGCAGGAGATCAAGAGCAAGATTATTGCCGTGGGGAGGATGCAGAGGGTGTTTCAGCTGTTGCGGTACGTTTCCTCCGTTTCTTCTCTTTACGCCTTACGCGCTTTTCCTTTCTTGACGCTTTACGCGCTTTGCAATACACTGTGGAAACGGACACTCACACATTTGATTTGACAGGGAGGAAGCCGAGTCGGCGTCGGAGCTTGTGGACGCGGAGGCGGGCGAGGCGGGTGTGTCGGGTGGGCTGGGGGTGCAGAGGCAGATACGGCAGAGTATACATAATTTCGAGGATGCGTGCGTGGTTTTTCTTTTTCTTTCCTTTACCTTTTTTTTTGGGGGGGGGAGGGCGGGGGGTTTGTGTGCACGAGAGCGAGGGCGAGGCGCGTGTGCAGTTCCCACTCGACGTCGGGCTCGTCGAGGGCAGTGTGCACGAGCCGCGCCCTGTGCACGAGCCGCGCCATGTCCACCAGCCGCGCCATGTGCACCAGCCGCAGCCTGTGGAGGTACATGAGAGCTGATGCGCGGATGGCGGTCGCCGGAGAGGATCCTCCTGCAATTAGGAAGCTCTGGGGCTGGGGCGCCAGGACACAAGCCCGCGTGGGGCACAGTGCCCCACGTAGCTGCCTACCTCGCCCGCCGAGATGGCTTCCTTCCTTCGCTCGCTCAGATAACCTTCCCCTCCCGCTCTCATCTCTCATCTCTCCCTCCTCTCTCAAATCACTGACCTCCCTTATCCCCACAGCCGCCGCTCCGACATCCAAAACGAGCGCATCCCCTCCCTCCCGCCCACCTCGCCCTCCCCGTCGCCCTCGCCATCCCCGCTCGTCCCCTCGATGCGCATCCCCGGGCGCGACCCCGCCGAGGGCCTCAACATGGAGTTCCTCATCAAGAAGACGCTCGACGACACGAGCGCGGGGGACGACGTCGAGCGGCTTGCGGACCGGATTGCGTTCCGCGGGGGGCGTGTAAGGCCGGGGGGGCTGAAGCGGCACGAGACGGTGTAGGCTGTAGGTGCGGGGGTGCAAGTGTGCTGTGTATGTTACGTTCCAGACGCGGGGGCAGACCGCGCGGCGAGCAGGAGGGGGCATCATCTACTCACTTTTTTTGGGGCGCTCATTATAACGCGCCGGGCCCACTGACATTCCGCTGAGGATGTGATGCTTAGTGTATATACGCAAGACAACGTTGCGGGGATTAATTTGAAAGGCTCCCTCTCTGCTATAGCTAT